CCCAACGGTAGCGCACTCTGCTAAAATACCTTCAAAGGATCATAGGCACACGGCATCATCTAGTACAAAGCATGCAGTTGATGTATCTTGGGAAGTACAAATTCAGAGAGTATACATTGCTCAAAGAGAGTTAAACATCACGTTGATCTACTTTTGTCAAGTTAACATTTTTTGTTTCACTACCATCAAAGAGAGTTAAAAATCTTCTGGATGTTGTTGTGGGGTTACTAATGCCTTTCTTTTGCAGGCAATCCTTCAACCCCCATTAGACGTGTAATGACCTGTGACAGTGAAAACTCACAGGATATGAAGATCCAAGAAGCTTACCATCTGTACTCCCTCGGCAACCAAAATATGAAGCACCGCACTCTCAGAACCAAGTATCTAGTGGGTCAGTGCTTGATGCGACAGGTCCAACTCCCAACACAATATGTACATGGAGGAGTATATGTAGACTCCAGAACAGGGAACTTACTTCTATCTGCATCATGGTATAAGGGTTGATATACCAGGTGAGGAGTATATGTAGACTCCAGATCAGGGAACTTACTTCTATCTGCATCATGGTATAAGGGTTGATATACCAGGTGACAGTATCGCACAGGCAGTCTCTGTTCCTCATGGCTCAGTTCTGGCTGTATGTTGCAGCATGGCGTTTCCAGGGATGTTTCGAGCCTAGGGTTATTTGGCATTGAATCATGGAGGTCTGGCTTTTTTATTTGTTAGTCCCCCAAATCATGGAGGTCGAACCTAGGATTCCAGCTTCATCTTGTACATGGGATGTTTCACAGCTTCTTTGCAACCAAGCCCCCCAAATGTACCACACAGTTGGATCATAATGTGCCTCCTAGGGATTGAGTTGCAAAGCTCGTTTGTTCTGAATGCTTAAACTTTTTCCATGGGAAGCTGTGAGGTGGCTAGGTCAAAGAATAGGATTGTCGTGATTTACTTCAACCGCTAATATCAGTTGTTTAGGAAATACTCCTGCATTTTAACGCGAGGGACCTTGCTGTGTTTAGCAGCGTGTTAACCAAAGGAACTTGAGCATATAATCTGAATCATTTCCAATAGTTACTGTAAAGGAATGTGCGAAGGTCGGATGCCATAGACCAAATTAACTGTTCCGGTGAGCTGGGTAAATAAACTGTTCTTTTCCATCGATATTGATGTTGTTCCATATGATTTTCTTCATACATCTTTTTCAGATGCATGCCAATTGCTTTTATGTGGCATATTGTGTATGATGGCATGCCTAATAACAGCGTGACGACATTGGTTAAGTCTCCTAGCAGCTGTCCGGAAGTTATTTTCGTAAATTTGATAACTGGTTGAAGTATAATGTTATCACTGAAGATCGAAGAATGCAATTGCAAAAGAACTAACAGAGTAGTGGACAGTCTGTTTTGTGTTGCCTGAAGCTGCAACTTTTCTTCCTTCTATTCATTCTCTCTTATTCTGAATTACAAAGCAAAGGTAGACCTCACGATCCGTAATCCTCGCGCCATCCGACGAGCGAGTCGTGCGTCCACTAGAAACGGTCCTAGTTTGTTAGGCAATGACCAGCACAACTAATCCTATCTCTAACTAACTGAAAAACCGAAAGGAAAGGAGCTAAACTACCTGCAGCCTGACGGTGACAACAGCCTGATGAGCTACAGTAAAGTTCCAGAAAAAAAACAGCTAACTAAGAGGGGAGGATGCACTAGGATTTATTCAACATTCACTCCCTAAACCTTGTGCATCTTCGTGATCTCCACCATGCCGATCTTTGCTCGCTGCTCCTGGAGCTTCCCACTACCAAGTGCCTTGGTAAGCAAGTCGGCCATCTGCTCTTCGGTCCTCACGAATTCGATCTGCATCTTCCCGTTTTCCACACACTCCTTGATATAGTGATACTTAATATCAATATGCTTGCTTCGCTCGTGGAAGACGGGGTTCTTGCACAATGAAATTGCCGATTTGTTGTCCATGTTGAGCACGACCGATTTCACTGCTTCCACCTTGATCTCACTAAGGCGCGCCAGCCACACACCCTGACAAGCTGCTGTTGCTGCAGCAACATACTCAGCCTCACATGAAGAAAGGGTCACAATGCTCTGTTTCTTCGATTGCCAGCTTACCAGGTTGCTTCCAAGGAAAAACATGAGACCTGTCGTGCTTCTGCGCGTGTCCAGACATCCACCATGGTCACTATCACTGTACCCAATCAGGGGAGCATCAGCCGCGCCACGGTAGTAGTGCACTCCCCAATTCAGAGTTCCTGCTATGTAGCGCAGGATGTGCTTTACTGCAGCCAAGTGTTCCTGGGTAGGTGCCTCCATGAACCTTGACACAAATCCAACCGAGAATGTGAGATCAGGTCTTGTGTGAATGAGATAGCGCAACATCCCTACTATGCTTCTGAATTCAGTTGCGTCCACTGGTTGAGCTGTACTGTCTTTGCTCAACTTAAACCTGGGCTGCATAGGTACACGGCAGGAGTTGCAACCTGTCATATCAGCTCTGTCAAGTATCTTGGCAGCATACCCAGCCTGACAGAGATCAATTCCCCCATCGTGCTGGTGAACTTCTATGCCCAGATAGTAATTCAGATGCCCTAGATCACTCATCTTGAACAGCGTCTGCATCTCATCTTTGAATCTGCTGATCTTCTCCTCATCTGATCCAGTGATGATCAGATCATCCACATAACCCCGACTACCAGCCGAGATTCTGCATCCCCTCTTGCATATATTCCATGCTCGGAGGGACATCTCTTGAATTTTAATCCTGTCAAGCAAG